AGTGGGGAGGCAGAGGTGCATGTGTGTGTGGGGGGAGGGAAGAGTCATCAAGTAACTTCCTTTCTTGTGCCCGTTTCCCCCACCACCTCCCCCCTCCCTCCACAGTCCCCCACTTATCATTGCTCTATGGAGGGGATAGGAAAAAGATGGGGAGAAGAGACTGCAGGGGAGAGTTAGTGGGGTAACAGAGGCAGCAGCTGCAGCTATGGCCCCACAGGGGCTGGAGCCCGAATCATAGCAGCTGTCTATCCCCACCAGTCTTACACACAATCTGAAGTGAGGGGCACCCCCCCTTCCACACCCCCCCCATGTTAAATGGGGGAAAAACCCTCACCTTAATAATACCATAGTCACACAATTCTATAATCATAAGTTAGCTTTGACATGCATCAGGGTTACTATTTATGACGCAAGGTTACCAATTTTGATTCAATTAACAGCTGAGTCCCATCCCAGATGCAACATGTAGCAGGACCCTTAGTTGCATAGTCAGCGCTCTATTTAAACATGTCCATGTCTAGATTTCTGATAACAGTAGGCTTTAAACAAAGCCAAAATGAAACCCAAAATTGGTTGACTGAATCCACCTAGTTTGGACACTTAGCTTTGCTCCATTTGATTTCCACTGTAACAAGATCCAATCAAATTAAAACCTAGTAAAGATGTTTGCGATTGACCTTTATACCTACAAAGTTTGTTAGTGCTGTTTAGTATTTGAAAAGCCTGTTCTGGTAATGCAATACTTTCAGAAAAAGGACACAGGCCTCAATTACCTCTTGTCCACGGCTACTCCTTGTAGTCAAATAGCATCATGGGATTCCAGGACTGTCTACACATGCTTTAAAAAAACGTCGTCAGGGTGTGCATTCACTTGACAGAGGAATTAAATTTCATTTTAAAAGGCTAGTGCCTCAGTCTTTCCTGGGATTGAATCAAACTGGGTTTTTTTGGATCATCACTTTCAATAGGTCTGCTAGATGTCTGTTTTATGGTGTTGAAGGTAGTGGGCTTGCACAGATGCAAGTAACTAGCACCTTGGGTCCGAGTTTATGATACTTGCTCTGTTTTACTAAAGCAGTTTGGACTCAAATTACACACAAGAGGAACAGACCTGTTGATTAAAGGAATTTTCTACAACTGCTACTCTTTGGATTCTAACCGTATTTTAAATAAAACAAGCATTTTGAAAATTTGTGATCAATGGATTTCCACCCCCTATATTCTTCTACATACAAAAATGAAACAAGCGGAGGTCTCTCTCAAGCAGTTCAATTCCCGTAGAATCTAAAAATAGTGAAAGTTCCACTTGTTATGTTAAGTGGAAATTTAAGCTAGTGGTTAAGGTGTATGGCACAGGTTGAAAAAACTCCCAAGTTTTGTTTGGCACATCATTGTGACAGGGACACTGGAATGTACGTCATGTCACTGTCCCATACCAGTTTACTTGTATTTAAAAATTTTAACCAGCCCACACACCCCAATTTCAATTTGGTACTGCAATGAGCCATTACACAAAGTTTCTTGAGAGAAGGAAGATAAAGTGGCAGTTGGTCAGGCAGTTAGACTGTTGTTTTTTTCCAATGAACAGCACAAGCAGTTGATTATCAAATATAATGCTCTTCATAAAAGGCATAAACATATTTTGGACTTCCAGTTTAACTCAATTGCTGAATACAATAACAAAATTTCACTAGCGCTAAAGCACTCCATAGCTGGTAGGGGCCATCTTGATAGGAACAATCAAGCTTTTGAGAAGCTACTAAAGCAACAGCTGTTACCTATTCCTGGAAAGTGACTTATTCTTGATTGGTAA